TCTGAGGCATCATTTGGTGTGTGTGTGTTTGCTGTAGAAAATGCTGAAATAAACATCAAAGGATGATAGAATATTATGCAACCCTAAAAAAGGAATGTGGTACTAATGCGCATTGCAACAGGGATGAACCTTGCAAACATTTGCTAAGTCAAAGAAGCCAGACAATGAACGGCCATATACCATATGGTTTCATTTCCAGAACAGGCAAATCCATAGAGATAGAGAGTAGATGAGTGGGTGCCTTAGGCTTTGGGGGATGGGGAGAAATGGACAGTGACGAGGTGTTCCCCTCGTGGCCTTCTACTTCTTTGCCTACTGAATCCTAGTCTGGATTAATCACAGATCACAAGACAGTCTTTGATTAAAACTCAACAAAACTCTGGCTGGGCCCGGTGGCTCACACCTGTAATCCAAGAACTTTGGGAGGCTGAGGTGGGAGGAACACCTGAGATCAGGAGTTCAAGACCAGTCTGGCCAACATGATGAAACCCCATCTCTACTAAAATACAAAAATTAGCCGGGCATGGTGGCGTGCACCTATAGTCCTGGCTTCTCAGGAGGCTGAGGCAGGACAATTGCTTGAATCCAGGAGGCAGAGGTTGCAGTGAGCTGAGATCACACCACTGCATTCTAGCGTAGGTGACAGAGCGAAACGCCATCTCAAAAAAAGAAAAAAAGAACTCCATAAAACTCATTATTTAAAAGGAGCTAGCAGTGAGGGATAAAACAGAGAAGCCCTACTTTGCAGTGACACCCCTTGTCCATAGAAAGCTCCCCGCCCTCATCAGATGGTTCTTCCATGAGGGCCGTCTTCTCATACCTGCTCTGGGGTCTCTATGGAGGACAACTCACTTCTTCCAGCCTGTCAGCACCAGGGCAGCTGGGGCAGCGCCCCACAGCGTTCTGTTCTCTCTTGGGATGGGCGAGCACTCTCTCATAGACATGGCTAGTGGTGAATCTGGCCAGTGATCCAGTTTTTTTTAATGGGTTTTCAAACCTTAAACATAAACTCAATTATGTACTTAAAAATACACATGTGCTGCTGGGGGTGGTGGCTCACGCCTGTAATTCCAGCACTTTGGGAGGCCAATCAGGGTCAGGAGGTCAAGAGATTGAGACCATCCTGGTCAACATGGTGAATCCCTGTCTACACTAAAAATACAAAAAAATTAGGTGGATGTGGTGGCATGCACCTGTACTCCCAGCTACTCAGGAGGCTGAGGCAGGGGAATCGCTTGAACCCAGAGTTGTGGAGGTCGCATTGAGCTGAGATCATGCCACTGCACTCCAGCCTGGCGACAGAGCAAGGCTCTGTTTCAAAAAAAAAAATTTAAAAATACACATGTGCATGCCTAAAAATACACACACACATGCAGAGGAAATTCTCCCTGCTGTGACTTCTAATGCTCATTAAAGGTAGGACTGGGATTTGGTTTTCAGTCAAATGTGGGGATGGGAGAGGCTGCAGGGCAGAGCTTCTCTGGCTCTTGGCCTTCCTCTTCAAAAGCCAGAGAAGAGACACCCATGGCAAGGAGTCTGTGCTCCCTCCAGGGAATACAGGGACCCCATGCAGTGCAGCCAATGCCAGTGTACACCTTCCAGAAAGATTATAAGCATTGGTGAAGAAATCTGTGAAACCCCGTGCAGCCACCAGAAACACCTGCTGGAAAAGCTAGAGAGAAAGAATTGGGTGGTTGGATGAACCATTTCACTGGCCACGGATCTTTTCTGTTTTGTTTTGTTTTCCTGACTCAGGGTCTTGCTCTGCTGCCCAGGCTGGAGTGCAGTGATGTGATCATAGCTCACCGTAGCCTTGAACTCCTGGGCTCAAACAATCCTCCCACCTCAGCCTCCCAAGTAGCTGGGACTACAAGCATGTACCACCACGCCCAGCTAATTAAACACATTTTTTTGGGGGAATCAAGGGTCTCTCTATGTTGTCCTGGCTGGTCCTGGACTCCTGGCCTCAAGCAATCCTCCCGCCTCAATCTCCCAAAGTGTTGAGATTACAGGCATGAGCCACTGTGCCCGGCCTCACTGGAGCTCTTTGAAGTCTCCCCAATCACTGGTTCGATTCTCACCTACACAGGTTTGTCATGAATTCTGCTATCTGTGGGTAACTTCACCACTGCCTGACTAGAGCCACAAGATAGTAAACTGGAAGTCCTGGCTGACACTTTATGATAAGCAGTATCACTCAAGAGGGCCATGCGGCCATGCGCAGAACATTCGATAGGAGAGGTGGAAAGCAAGGGGCCAAGAGCTGGTGAGCTAGGCCACCATGCTGGTTAGCTAGGTCTCCATGCTGGTTAGCTAGGTCTCCATGCTGGTTAGCTAGGCCACCATGCTGGTTAGCTAGGTCTCCATGCTGGTTAGCTAGGCCACCATGCTGGTTAGTTAGGTCACCATGCTGGTTAGCTAGGTCTCCATGCTGGTTAGTTAGGCCACCATGCTGGTTAGCTAGGTCTCCATGCTGGTTAGCTGGGTCACCATGCTGGTTAGCTGGGTCACCATGCTGGTTAGCTAGGTCTCCATGCTGGTTAGCTAGGCCACCATGCTGGTTAGCTAGGTCACCATGCTGGTTAGCTAGGTCACCATGCTGGTTAGTTAGGTCTCCATGCTGGTTAGTTAGGCCACCATGCTGGTTAGCTAGGTCTCCATGCTGGTTAGCTGGGTCTCCATGCTGGTTAGCTAGGCCACCATGCTGGTTAGCTGGGTCTCCATGCTGGTTAGCTATGTCGCTATGCTGGTTAGCCTGGTCAACATGAGCCTTTGTTTGCCAGTCACAATCCTGGTTTGTTTGACATCATGGGATAATTATTCACTAATCCCTCTTTTCACTGGCAGTGGTATCTTGGTTTGGATATTAAAACTCTATGGTTACTAAAAGACAAATAACTTTGATTCCACTTCAACAGAAAGACAAATAACTTTGACTGTACTTCCATCCAACAGAAAGTAAAATGATGGTTCCCAGCAGCTGGGGGGAGAGGAAAGGCGAGTGACTGTTTCGTGGGTAAAGTTTCAGCTTTGCAAGATGACAAGTATTCCAAAGATCTGTTGCACAACGATGGGAATATACCTTACTGAACTGGCCGCTGAAAAATGGTTACAATGGTAGATTTCATGTTGTGTGCATTTTATCACCATTTGGAAAAATCTTCTGTGAGATGACCCCAAAAACCTCTTACCCACAATTGCGGTATAAAATGTTTAGGAGGATGGAAGCTGAGAGGGCATTTTTAGAAATGTTCTTGAGAGGGAGATGTTCTGTGAGCTCGCTGCTACCCACAGGGGAAGGCGGAAGATGGACTGTTCTCCTTGGAGCTAGTAAGAGAGGCTCCATTAGGGTTACCTGAAGAGCTTAACAGTCGTCCCCGACATCAGACAAACTGAAGCAGGGATGGAGCCCAGATGGGGGAATGGAGAGAATTAACTTTACAGCAAGTTTGAAGCTTTGATTGTGAAAAAGAACTGGACACTCTAAATTCTTAATAAAAACTTATTTTGCGGCTAGGTGTGGTGGCTCATGCCTGTAATTTCAGAACTTTGGGAGGCCAAGGCAGGTGGATCATGAGGTCAGTAGATGGAGACCATCCTGGCCAACACGGTGAAACTGCGTCTTTATTAAAAGTATAAAAAATTAGCCAGGCACGGTGGCGCGTGCCTGCAGTCCCAGCTACTCAGGAGGCTGAGGCTGGAGAATCACTTGAATCCAAGAGGCAGAGGTTTCAGTGAGCCGACATGGCGCCACTGTACTCCAGCCTGGGTGATAGAGCAAGACTCTGTCTCAAAAAAGAAAAGAAAAGCTTAATTTGACATTTAAAGTGCCTGGGTGACTTCGTAACACCTGAGAGGGATCAGAAAAGTCAAGGGACCGCCTGTGTTTTTATTGAGAGGCAAGGAAAGAATATATTCAAAGGAACACTGGGAGATAAAAGATATGTGTCTTTTGAGTCCCAGGTGGTCACTGTTCTTATACTAGCAAAGTCTTCTGATTTTCAGACTGAGAAACTAGATCTGTTCGTAAATTACTACTGGTTCATGGCTTCTTTTGGAGTGAGAGAGGCTATGGGATGCTCCCCTGCAGTGCTTTGGGATCCAATGACAGCATTTGGTTTTGATTTGCTTCTTCAAATTGCATCGAAGGTCAACGGGGTTCCCTGAGTAGTAGGAACCTGTCTCGGTAGAGCTATTTAGAAGCCAGCCAGTCTCAGGGCGGCTGCTGCGTCATCTGGCTGGGTGTTTATTTGCATATCATAAATACCAAGTGTTGTGTTTGACCCCTGCTATGCACACAATCAACGTGGCTATTTATGTGGCCTCTTCAGAGGCAGGGAGAACAGCAAGTGGAGGAGCCCAGGCATGATGCGGGAAGCAGATGAATCCCAGGAGACCACATATCCCCAAAGACATACCAGCTGCAGTGGAAAAGGTGCTTCTGGCAATTTAATCACATCTAGCTTAAGCACTGGTTGCGTGGAAGTCAAAGACAGATGTGGGGTTACCTACTTAGAAACTGGCATTTTTGGCTGGGTGTGGTGGCTCATGCCTGTAATTCCAGTACTTTGGGAGGCCGAGGCAGGCGGATCACCTGAAGTCAGGAGTTCAAGACTAGCCTGACCAACATGGGG